CCCAATCACGTTAAGACTGGATACCAGGCTAAGTCAACTCCCGGTGTGCCAAACTCTATTGGTATTTAAAAACTCCTACAGGCGTAAAACTTCTAGTGTACTGGGCGGGGGAAACTATTAGAGCCCCGAAGACAGCCTGCCCCAACCACGTTAGACTGCACACCAGGTTAACGGAAAGGCCGTCGAACATCATTGTCAGTGGTTGCTTCTATCACAGTCAGCTTGAAAATTTTATGACCCAAAAATCGATCATACAACTACCTACGACGAATATTACCTCGCCATAAGCAACTTATGTCTCAACATTATGGCGGATTAAGATGTTGTATAAAGGGTTTATAAATTTTTGGTGTGTACTTACATCTTCGAGGCGACATTCCAAACTGTGGAAGGTTGCAGGGTCCATGTTGTCAGGTAGAGGTGTGCTCTCGGTGTGACGACTCGGTCTGTCTAGTTCCTGTATACTGTAGGCTATCACGTCACGGGTTCAAAAGTTGTACCGTGTTACCTTTGACCCACATATACCCTGGGTGCCAAACTAGTATCGGGCCGTTAGCCGTTTTCCTTCGGCAGCCAAGAGCCCTTCGCCCGCCTATCTAAATTACCGCTACGGGTGAGTTGATCCTGAGGGGTTTGTCCGGCCCTATTACTAGTCTGGTGTCGCCTCTATTAGCTGACAAAATTCCGCTCACTATCTGAGCGGGCCGAGTTGAGACCACATTGGCTAGCCGTTGATCCCCCGCACAGCATAATAGGGCCGGACAAACTCGGGCTCAACTCCCCCGTAGCTGTAATTTAGATAGGCGGGGGAAGGGCTCTTGGCTGCCGAAGGAAAACGGCTAACGGCCCGATACTAGTTTGGCACCCACGGTAACCCGCATATGCAACTAAAACAAGACAATGGCCGGATGTATAGTATATAATTACAACGTACGGAGGGTCCCATAACTTTGGACGTAAAACTCTTCGACATCGTATTTCACTGGTGTTTGGGATGTTTTCAGGGACGTTCGTGTGTTTGTCTGTGTGTGTGTGTGTGTGTGTGTGTGTGTGTGTGTGTGTGTGTGTGTGTGTGTGTGTGTGTGTGTGTGTGTGTGTGTGTGTGTGTGTGTGTGTGTGTGTGTGTGTGTGTGTGTGTGTGTGTGTGTGTGTGTGTGTGTGTGTGTGTGTGTGTGTGTGTGTGTGTGTGTGTGTGTGTGTGTGTGTGTGTGTGTGTGTGTGTGTGTGTGTGTGTGTGTGTGTGTGTGTGTGTGTGTGTGTGTGTGTGTGTCGTGTGTCGTCGTGTGTGTGTGTGTGTGTGTGTGTGTGTGTGTGTGTGTTGTGTGTGTGTGTGTGTGTGTGTGTGTGTGTGCGTGCGTTTGTGAACACGATAACCTAAGAAGGCTTTGATGGATTGTCTTGATATTTAGTAGTTGGGTAGGTCTTGATGAGACATAGAAATCATTAGATTTTGGGCCCCCGGCGGCTTGTCATGGTATTGCAGTAGAACTTCCGGTTTTGGTATCTCGTAATCTAGACGTGTTAGGGTCACGAAATTTACATGGTACATAGCTCTTGGGTTGGAGATGAAGTGACAGGAGTTTGAGCCCCTACCGTCTTGCTCTAGAGATGTAGGGGCATTTGTTAAAAAAAATGTTTAAAGGAGGATAACTCAAGAACCGATTGATGGATCGTCATGATTTTTATTTCAATGATAAATTGCACACTGATCACACAGTGGTTTCACGTTCAGGTACCAATAAAGTCTCATGTTCCCCCTTCACTGTTTGTGGCGAGTCTGTCGACTCCTGCGTCGTGTCCGCCGGCCGTTTCTTCCTGAGCCGCAGGAGGAACGGCAAGAGCCCGGCCAACAGGAAACCGGCGCCGGCTAGGAGGAACGTGGCGTCGTAACTTTGGGTCTCGTCGAACAGCCAACCTGGGAAAACATGCAAAAATTAAGAATCATTTTGTAATACTTTTGCTGCAACGAAAAGCAATGACTTACGTTACCCTAACATTTTCTCAAGAACCACAAGATACTAGAAAATAGAAACTCGTCATGTCACCAATCTCTGTTCTGACCATGGACAACTGGCGCTGATGCGGTGGTCTTTGCTGTTACTTGACTACCAAATGTTTGAACGTCTGCAAAGACTGTTTCTATGTTTCTACTGCTTCATAAAACTTCCATGACGTACGTTTCAAATCTTATTCCTCTACACAAACCTGCAAACGGTGGCCCAGCCAGCAATGCAACCCCCGTTATTGACATGATAATTCCAATTGCACTGGGAAGACGCTTCGGGCCGACGAGTTCGGCCACACAAGTCAGTAGCGTGGGTGCAAACGCGCCGTAGAACACCCCGTGTGCGATAGCGTACGCCACGAGCGCCGGGTACGTCTTGGCGAGGGGAGACAGGAGGTTGATGATGCCTAACAGGCACAGACTCAGTCCGTACTGGTCAAACCGGTTGAACCGTGAGTAGTCCGGGATGGCCCCGACTGCTAACCGACTGACCATGTCTGCGATAGAGATGACTGAGAGGAGGGACGCCGCCGCGTAGTCCTCGATCTGAAGCTGCTTGGCGCGAGGGACGATGTACAGGGACGGCAAGAAGAGGCAAATATTCATCATAAAACAGGACGCCGAGAACAGGGCCACGGAAGGTATCAAGATCACTTTAAAGTCCATCTGTGCCCAAAACGTTTTCAGAAAGTTCGTTGCAGCTGCGGAACACTTCTTTGCCGTGCCAGGTTCCAAGACTGTGTCTGAGTCGTTCATTCTGCTGTCCCCGGGACAATTTTTGACCTTCCTGTCTCTGTAAGCCTCGAGAGGTCTGATCAAGGCTCCAGCCACAACCATATTCAGGTTTATGCCGCCTATAATGAGCAGGGCGCCCTTCCAACCGAACTCGTCCATCAGGTACTGGAAAAGTGGCGGGAACGCCATGGAGGCGACGCTAACCCCAACCACGGCCAGGCTGTTGGCGATGGCTCGTCTTTTGGTAAAATACTGCCCGACAATGGCCGAAGCAGAACTAAAAGTGATGGCATATCCAAGGCCTGTTTGGAACAAAAGAAGACTTGTTACAAAGTATCACTGTATCTGACAATGGTCACATGTGGCGACCATAACTTGGATCTATTTCGGTATGTTTTATACACAATTGTGTTACAGATTTGTCAGACGAATGGCACTCTTTATGTTGTTGTTTTTTTCAGGCTGAAGTTTGAGTATGTCGGAGCAAGTAAAAATGCTATAATAATATAAGCAGTTTCAGAAATGACCTAGACGAACCAGAGAGACATCCGATTCCCAAGTACAAGTGAATTATGTGGGTCGCAAAACGACTGACGATGTAGCCGGCTGCTGTGAGCACCCCTCCCAACATGATGGTCGGACGGAAACCTATGGTGCTCGCCAAGGCAGTGCCAACCGGAGCTACGGAGAAAACAATAGGCACGTGTTGGACATACATTTGTACGCGGAAACAACGGACATTTGTCTTTGAGAATGATGGTCTGTTTGTGTTTCAATCCTTTTGTCCCTTGGGTGCTTAGCTTGCACAGAGGGGGACCTGGTTTCTCTTAAAACCCCAAATATGTGGTACTAACTAAAAAGTGTGTTACTAACTTTATGCAAATTATTTTTAGTACCATAGTTTTTGGATAGTACCACACTTTTCTTCTTCAGGCGCTCTGAAGTTATACTCTATGCTCACTACAAATCTGCGGACACGCACACACAGACAGGCAGACAGACACACCGAAAACAATACCTCCATTTTTCATGGAGGTAAAAACAAATCCCATAAACCCCGCGAGCCCGGGTGACTCCAACTAGAACACGCATTCTGTTCGAATTACCACCCGTTACCCCAAATGGAACACGCGTTCTGTTCGAATTACCACCCGTTACCCCAAATGGAACACGCGTTCTGTTCGATTTACCACCCGTTACCCCAAATAGAAATAGAACACGTGTTCTGTTCGAATTAAAACCCGTTACCCCAAATAGAACACGCGTTCTGTTCGATTTACCGCACGTTACCACAAATGAAACACGCGTTCTGTTCGAATTACCGCCGGTTACCCCAAATGGAACACGCGTTCTGTTCGAATGACCTGTGCCCAACAGTAGAAGGTAAGAGCATTCCATGAAGTCCTTTTTGAGTAAAAAAACTCTCGTTGATACTGAACCGTAACTCCAGTTTCGCTTGATTACAAATTATTATTCCACAAAAAGCGTAAAACGAGATTGATCAAAATATTTGTTTGATATCATAATCGTCATACAAGAATATGCGATGAAAATCGATAAAGTTGAACTGACATAGCAAAAACGTGACGCTCATCAGGATAGAGGTTATCCACGCCGTCTCCGCGGCGCTGGCGTCAAACTCTTGGCTGAACGTCAGGAAGAAGACTCCGAGGGAGCGGAACATTCCCCCCGTACAGCCGTTGACGATGAACCCGCCCAGAACCACCATCCAGCCCCAACCGCCGTCTGGAGGTTGACCGGGACTTTCTGCATTCGCCATGGTTTCTGTTCAGCTAGGGGACCCTAAATATCATGAAAGTTCATCTGTGTTGGTAGTAATCATCAAATAGTAAAATGTTAACATTTATTCCAACACAACGAGTATGGGAGATCAAATTTTCAATGACCACTGTCACCCTTTCTTATTGAGCAACATACAGAAACTTACAGGACACCAATGGTGAGCAACTCTAGCAGGTTGCGAATCTTAGCCCAACCACGGACAAAGAAGAGTACATACAATGGTAAATAATAAGAACAAAACAGCAGCAAGTAACAAAACAGCAAATGGGTGATATAAACGATAACATGTAAAAAAGGATTATGATGTTTTGAAAAAGAGTTAAACTTGGGAAGAAAACGACATGAGTGACCACCAAATTCGTTTTCCTGGCTACCCTCTTTCTGCCTTCAATCCATCATTACAACGTTAACGCTTTGACTTAACAATAAAACACTCTCGGTTGGGTTAAGGCGGCCCAGGCTTATGGGAAAGTAGTATTCTATACATATGACTGTAACTTTTGATTTTTTTTTTTTTTGGGGGGGGGGGGGTCAAAAACACAAGAAATGGCTATTTCTTTGCAATTTTAAAATCGCTCCAATAAGAAGAGTTATAATTAAAAGTTTATGAAAAATAGCCTCGGACAAATTTGATACCAAAGCGATAATACGTAAACATGGATTACTCTAAAGATCAATTATGTTGTTTTCAGCTGCGCGTAAAGCCGTTTAAGTCACAATCCGTGAATAAAATGTGTGGCAATGCAGGTTTACAGTAGTAGGTTTACAGGGGAAATATACAAATGAACTCAAGTGAATTCGAACACTGTCAATTTTACCAGGATTTAAAACGGTCTGAAGCTCTTGTTTTGTATCGTGAAAGCAACAGACAATACCTCACAAATAACAGAAAATGTTGTACGAACTCATACCTAAGCTTCACGGCAACACGTCAGACCAGGGTTCAGGTACGTACAAGGAACAGCCCACTGATTCCAGCCCACTGTTTCTCTTCAGTGGATCCTAAGTTGAACTTGGCTATGGAAAGAAAACTACCACCAAATTAATTTCCATGGCTACCCACTTTCTGCCTTCAGGCCATCATTACAACGTTAACGCTTTGACTTAACCTCACCTCACCTCACCTCACCGGTCCCATAGCAGTCTGTCCTGCCGTCGGGGCAACTAAACTAAGTTATTTGGCAGTGACTTAACACTAAAACACTATTGATTAACTGCCTGGGCGTAGCAAGGGCGAGCGCCTTCGGTAGCTTGTTTGCATGGGACAAACTACACAAAGTCTCAAGGTTCAATTTCTCATTAACTGAACTGGTAACAAACATAGTTGCATTGACATTTCCTCAACTTGTAGGGTATTCTGTCAATTTTACCAGGGTTTAAAACGATCTGTTGCTCTTGTTTTGTACCGCGATGTCTAAAGTAACAGATAACACCTTTAATATTGATAACAATTAACATCGCCGTTGTTGAACGTATTCATACCTTCACGGCAGCACGCCAGACCAGGGTTCAGGTACGGAGTGAACTCTGGCTGGCTCCCTGATTATGTACACTAGCTTGTTAGGTCAATGAGGCCAGCGTCGTCTGTTTGCTTGTGACTGTAATCTGTCCTGTTAATCTTAACTATGCCCGTAGCCAGGATGTTGCTGGGGGGGGGGGCTACCTAATTCACCAGTTTCCCCTCCCCAGAATGCAACGCGAAAACAGGGGGTCTAACCTCATTTGCATAGGACAGGAAGGCATCGGAATGATCCTGGTGACGTTAAACAACTTGCTTTTCCCTGTGTTTTGAGGTGTTGGCATTTTATGCTCAACATAATTAAATTACTATGGGTCGAATCTGACAACAAATAGAGAATGAAGTTTTGTGTTCTTTTCAACATGGAACATGTGGTTCGTAACGTTACAGCATCATATAGCGTTACCACTATAACATTACAGACAATTCATTCCAAAAAACACACACAGACAGACAGACACACACACACACACACAGACAGACGCGCCGAAAACAATACCTCCATTTTTCATTGAGGTAACAAGCTGTTTAACGTCACCAAGATCATTCCGATGCCTTCCTGTCCTATGCAAATGAGGTTAGACCCCCCTGTTTTCGCGTTGCATTCTGGGGATGGGAAACGGGAGCTTCCTTGAGGGGTCAGCGTGCATACTTCCCCGGAAACTTAACCTTTTGAAATTACATTTCCTGTGTTTTTAGCGGAGTTCATAACTGTTTTAGTCAGTACGCGTCAGAACGCGCCCTCTGAAAGTTTAGTATTTGCCTTCGACAGAAGGCTATAAAATCGTTTTGGCACTGTTTGGCAGATTATGCACGATAAATTTTGAAGGCATGGTCCCAGGTTCACGATTTTTTACATCAACGTATTCCCGACGTTGATGTCCACACCATCGTTTAACTTTTTGAAGCAAATACAATATCAGTTGTGCTACAAGAAAAACGTTTTTCTCATGTTTTAGTCTTTCTTCAGAACAATACCGGGTGAAGTTTTTAGTACAATGACATGGAGGATTTTTTTTATTTACTTCAATTTTCACCTTTAAACAAGGCTCATACAGTTTCTTTTGGGCAGAAAGACAACTTTTCATCAAGGATTGAATCAATTAGGAAATAGATCATCAGAGGTAATCTTAACAAGCGTGAAGCAAGGGCTGTTTAAACAGGAAAAGGGCCCAGAACTTCGGCCATGCAGGGGGGTTACATACATATTACAATATAGCCCCAGACCAAAGGTTCTGTCCATTTTGTCCAAAGCATATAGAAAATGAATTTCACTTTGTTATGGAATGTACCAAATATAATGTTATACGTAACAAGCTATTTACATTTCTCGAATCAAGTACCATAGATTTTAAGAGTCTCGTTGTTGGAGACAGATTTGAATATATCTTTACATGTAATGGTCCCCACAACGCAAAAATAAGTAAATATATAAAGGAATGCTTTGCTATTAGAAAAAATTCCGAAACTTGTGATTAGCCCACTCGATTGTAACACTTTATCAAAGACTTATGATATTCCTTATTATTTGAATGATTATGATATAGATATGTTAGGTTTTATTCGACATTAGGTCTTATGCAACAAAGTTATTCTATTGTTGTTACTCTCTTTATGTAGTTTGCCATACATTGTACCATGTGCAATTGTCGTGCAATAAAGTTCTACATACTTGGGAACGAACCGCCCTACAGAACGACTGTGCCAAAGGAATGAAAATCAAAACAGAGTGGATAGATCATCGAGAATAGCAAAGAAGAAATTCGATACATTTCAACCATGGAATATTCTATGGTATGAAATTATCACATTGGTTTTACAAAACACTTTACTCCAAAGAAGAACTCAAACACAACACGGAGGTGAAACCGCTCATGCAGGCTCATCCAAAAGTTTGAAGGATATGTGTTCCCTTTCTTACAAGAAAAATTACGTTTGACAAGAATTTGCTATCGCAAATGTACGCGCATGGCACCTGGATGGGTCCTACTGATAATCAGCCTTTCTAAGAAGTCTTGCTTCGTTCCCTGGGGCAGTTTTGTGCCCTCGCGTCACCAACATGCTTTGTCTTTTCCTCCTCCCCGCGGGCTATGTCATTTGTAGATTGCGAAAAAAGACTATGTCTTTTCCTAGCCTCCTTCGCAATCTTGTTGGGCGTCGGCGTAATTTTTTTCTGTGAGCGACGCGAGTAATATGCGGCCGCGAGGGACGATTTGCTGCCGAGGGAGTTTTTGCCGCGGAGAGAAGGATTCGCGCTCCAACAGGACTGCTTCTAGTCGGCGACTAAAAAGGGCCATTAAAAACACTTAGGAGCGCGAATCGTCCCTCGCGGCGGCATATTACTCGCGTCGCTCACAGAAAAAAAACGCCGACGCCCAACAAGACTGCGAGGGAGGCTAATCTTTTAAAAAAAAAGTTGACTCTTGGACGACAAAAAATGTGTTCCCAAGTTGATACACACGCCATCTTTACGTTATGGCTTTGATTCAACAATGAACTGTGTTAAAAGAAAAAGTTTTATGTAGTTTTCGATCAAAACAAAATCGGTCTTCAAATGACCTACCTGTATTAGAAAAGAGGAACAAATGTTTTCGTTTAGCTTTTGTTACTGTGTTATTCCATTAAGGGAAATTCAGTTATTACAATGACATAGAGGATCCATAGCATTGACATGAGGGGAAATGCATCTGTTCAAAACGTGTGACGTCCCAGTGATACAGCCCTAGTGGGAAGCTGCCTGAAGAGTGTCTGTATCATTCCAATGTGCAACTTATTCTCGAAAAGATACGTCGATTAAGGTTAGAATACCAGGTATTACGATACGCCAAAAAGCAGTTACACAAGCAGCTGGATATGATTTTGGAAATATATGATATTTACGTACCGTTGTTGAGTGCACTGGTCAGAAAACCGCCTCGTCAAAATGAAAAATCCCGGAGTAGAAAGCGCTACACCAATACGAGTCAGCGCGGGAACAAGGAACTGCGGCAAAACTAGTTCAACCACTGGAGGGTCGTTACCATGGTGACTGCATGTTGGGTAGTACTGTAATTCCTGATTTTTTTCACTGTACTGTTATGTTCACTGTTTTCACTGTCACTTCTGCGCCGTGAACTTATCATTACAGTTAACAAATAATTCCTGCACTTTCTTTTTCCTGCACCTGTCGCCACCGTGAATATATAGTTCTGTGAACATGTACATTTTTCTCAGACCGTGAACTTTTGCTACCATGATCGAACATAAAGTGAATTACAGATCGAATTACTGAATTACAGTATACGTAGGCTGTTACGTCATGCGCACCCATACGTCAATCTTTTTCGTCACAGTACAGCTGAACACAAATTTAATAGTCATTAGATATTCTTCTCTTACGCTGTTTTTTCTTTTCTTTATTCATAATCATGTTTGTAACTTAAATTGATCCTTTGTAACATTTTGTTATTGCCTTCGACAGAAGGCTATAAAATCGTTTTGGCCCTCTTTGGCAGATTATGCACGATAAATTTTGAAGGCATGGTTCGAGGTTCACGATTTTTGGCAGGCAGGTTGTCTTAGTGATTGGCATTGTCAAGGCCAAAAATGGGCTTCGTGGAATGTTCTTACGTGAATGGAGTTGACCTTTTGTGTTTGTGTTTTTTGTTTATAATATCAAGATAACTCGGGAATCCTTAAATGGTCGTCTATGATTTTAGTTGGCAAGTTAACGTTGAGATTACGAAGGTCAAGTTCAGAAATGGGCCTCGTGGGGGGTTCACACGTCATTGAATTTGATGACGGTGGTGGTCGTTATTGTTGTTAGCAGGATAATTCGAGAATTTGCAAATGGATGTTCATGATTTTTCGTGAGCAAGTTACCGTTGACGATAGAAAGATCATGTTCGGAAATGGGCGGGCCTCGTGGGAGGTCCGTACGCGTTGCTGTAGTGGGCTTTTGGTGATTGCACACTTTTAAGGGCAGGCGAAGTCTTGCTATGGTTTTATATCTAGGTTAAAACAACAACGCTGGCTGTATAGAAGAATAATTTAGTTGAAGGAGTTTTTGTTACCGCGGAAGTAGCGAGACAGGAAGCTTCGGTTACTAGTATTATACTTCTCGTGATGAAGCTTGGGCGAGGCACACGGGCCCAGCCGTATGCACTGCCGCTCACCGTCAGCGATGTGGTCGAACCTGGTCGGTCGCCATTTTGATTTTCTTAAGCGCGCGTGACGTCATCATTACCCAGGGAGCCCTGCGGTGTTTCCTCAGTCAGAGCTTGTCAGGTCGACTGATGTATTTACTAGTAGATTTTTGTATTCCACGTATGTGACTTACAACATGTACAGTGTTAAACCTACCGCACAAGCATACTGGGACTCAGTAACCCCTAATCTAGATTGGAGAAAAATCTGGAAATTTCAAACTTGTAATATTAAACACAATAAGTTGCGGGAAGTAAACTTTAAAATCCTGCACAAGATTCTACCCTGTAGGTACTTACTTAACAAGTGGAATGTAAAAGACGAATCAGGAAACATTTATAGTAATAACTGCGTAATTTGTAATACTGTGGAAAACTACTTCTGTTTTGCTACTAGTTTTGCTAATTTCAGAAGAATGTAACATATTAACAATCGCTAAGTATGCCATTCATGTGTCCTGGTTAAGACATAAAGATGACCACATACACAGTACAGAAAACTGCAGAAAGACGATTTGGTTAATACTTTCCTTTATTACTGTTCCATATACACATAAGATGAGTACACTTTGTTGAGAATTTGTTATAACATACATGTATCACTGAACATTTGTATTTAATAAAGTGCCGTGGCGGACACGGAAAAGTTTTAAAAAAAGAACATTGACAGCGACAAGAAATAATACACGTTCTCGTCGTGTCACACATACCGTACGTACATATATGTTGATTAAAATATACATTCTAGAGTGTTTACATTTGCTACCAATTCCTGTAGATAAATTGTACATGCATAGTGCAAGAACCAATTATGTTATATACTATTAGGTATCATTAGTAGCTGTGGTGGCAAATATTAGTCATCAACATCATGTTATGTAACTAGTACTTTGTTGGATAATATGTAGCCCACTGCATTTCACTGATAAATTGCAACAATGATCACACGGCGGTTTCACGTTAAGGTACCGATACAGTCTCATTTTTCCCCCTCACTGTTTGTGGCGAGTCCGTCGACTCCTCCGTCGTGTCCGCCGGCCGTTTCTTCCTGAGCCGCAGGAGGAACGGCAAGAGCCCGGCCAGCAGGAAACCGGCGCCGGCTAGGAGGAACGTGGCGTCGTAACTTTGGGTCTCGTCGAACAGCCAGCCTGGGAAAACATGCATGAATTAAGAATTATTTGGTAATACTTTTGCTGCAACGAAAACCAATGACTTGCGTTACCCTAACATTTTCTCAAGAACCACAAGACGCTAGAAAGTAGAAACTCGTCCTATCCTTTCTCACCAATCTCTGTTCTGACCACGGACAACTGGCGCTGATGCGGGGGTCTTAATTTGCTGTTACACGACTACCAGATGTATGAACATCTGCAAAGACTGTTTCTATGTTTCTACTGTTTGATAAAACTTCCATGACGTTTTAAATCGTATTCCTCTACACAAACCTGCAAACGGTGGCCCGGCCAGCGATGCAATCCCCTGTATTGACATCATAACTCCAATTGCACTGGGAAGACGCTTCGGGCCGACGAGTTCGGCCACACAAGTCAGTAGCGTCGGTAAAAACCCGCCGTAGAACACCCCGTGTGCGATAGCGTACGCCACGAGCGCCGGGTACGTCTTGGCGAGGGGAGACAGGAGGTTGGTGATGCCCAACAGGCACAGACTCAGCCCGTACTGGTCAAACCGGTTGAACCGTGAGTTGTCCGGGATGGCCCCGACTGCTAACCGACTGACCATGTCTGCGATTGAACTGACTGAGAGGAGGGACGCCGCCGCGTAGTCCTCGATCTGAAGCTGCTTGGCGCGAGGGACGATGTACAGGGACGGCAAGAAGAGGCAAAAATTCATCATGAAACAGGACGCCAAGAACAGGGCCACAGAAGGTATCAAGATCACTTTAAAGTCCATCTGTGCCCAAAACGTTTTCAGAAAGTTCGTTGCAGCTGCGGAACACTTCTCTGTCGTGCCAGGTTCCAAGACTGTGTCTGAGTCGTTTATTCCGCTGTCTCCGGGACAATTTTTGACCTTCCTGTCTCTGTAAGCCTCGAGAGGTCTGATCATGGCTCCAGCTACAACCATACTCAGCATCATGCCGCCTATAATGGGCAGGGCGTCCTTCCAACCGAACTCGTCCATCAGGTACTGGAAAAGTGGCGGGAACGCCATGGATGCAACGCTAGCTCCTACTGCGGTCAGGCTGTTGGCCATGGCTCGTCTTTTGGTAAAATACTGCCCGACAATCGCCGTAGCAGGACTAAGAGTAAGGGCATGTCCAAGGCCTGTGTGGAACAAAAGAAGACTTGTTACAATGTATCACTAGTGTATCTGACAATGGTCACATGTGGCGACCATAACTTTTTCGGGCTTAACGTATGTTTCATACACAACTGTGTTACATATTTGTCAGTCGAATGACACTTCTTATGTTGTTTTTTCAGGCTGAAGTTTAGGTATGTCGGAGCAAGTAAAAAATGCACTAAGCAGTTTCAGAAATATTAACCTATACGAACCAGAGAGACATCCAATTCCTAAGTACAAGTGAATTATACGGGTCGCAAAACGACTGGTGATGTAGCCGGCTGCTGATAAAACCCCTCCCAACATGATGGTCGGACGGAAACCTATGGTGCTTGCTAAGGCAGTGCCAACCGGAGCTACGGAGAAAAACAAAAGGCACGTGTTAGACATACATTTGTACGCGGAAACAACGGACCCAACAATACCCCATACAAGTCCAAAATCACTTTATTGAACATTGCAATTGGAACATTGAATTACGTCCAATTTACAAACATATTTTAAAAACGAATTCCATAAACCCCGCGAGTCCCGGTGACTCCAAATAGAACGCGCGTTCTGTTCGAATTACCACCGGTGACCCCAAATGGAACACGCGTTCTGTTCGAGTTACCGCCGATCACCCCAAATGGAACACGCATTCTGTTCGAATTACCACCGGTGACCCCAAATGGAACACGCGTTCTGTTCGAATTACCGCCGGTCACCCCAAATGAAACACTCGTTCTGTTCGAATTACCGCCGATCACCCCAAATGGAACACCCGTTCTGTTCGAATTACCGCCGATCACCCCAAATGGAACACGCGTTCTGTTCGAATTACCGCCGGATACGCAAATGGAACACGCGTAGCGTTGTGTTCAAATGACCTGTGCCCAACAGTAGAAGTTAAANAGCATTCTATGAAGTAATTATCTGAGGCCTTTTGGAGTAATTTAAAAAAAAAACTCTCGTTGATGCTAAAGCGTAACTCAAGTTTCGCCTTGATTACAAATCATTATTCCACAAAAGGCGCAAAACGAGATTGATCAAAATATTTGTTTGCACGATATTATAATCGTTATACAAGCATATGCGATGAAAATCGATAAAGTTGAACTGACCTAGGGAAAACGTGACGCTCATCAGGATAGAGGTTATCCACGCCGTCTCCGCGGCGCTGGCGTGAAACTCTTGGCTGAACGTCAGGAAGAAGACTCCGAGGGAGCGGAACATTCCCCCCGTACAGCCGTAGACGATGAACCCGGCCAGAACCACCATCCAGCCCCAACCGCCGTCCGGAGGCTGACCGGGACTCTCTGCGTTCGCCATGGTTTCTGTTCAGCTAGGGGACCCTAATTATCATGAAAATTCATCTGTGTTGGTAGTAATCATCATAGTAAAATGTTGAAATTTATTCCAACACAACGAGTATGGCAGATCAAATTTTCAACGACCACTGTCACCCTTTTTAATTGAGCAACATAGAAACTTACAGGACACCAATGGTGAGCAACTCTAGCAGGTTGCGAATCTTAGCCCAACCACGGACAAAGAAGAGTACATACAAGTAAATAATAAGAACAAAACAGCAACAATTAAGTAACAAAACAACAAATGGGTGATATAAACGATAACATGTAAAAATTATTGTGATGTTTTGAACAAGAGTTAAACTTCAGAAGAAAACGACATGAGTGACCACCAAATTCGTTTTCCTGGCTACCCTCTGTGCCGTCAATCCATCATCACGACGGTTTGACACTTCGGGGGAGGGGGCGTAGCAAGGGCGAGCGCCAATTGCAACTTGTTTACACGGGACCAACTACACTAGCCTCCATAGCGTGCCAAAAACTGGGGGTTTTGGGGGTCTTCAGGGTCTTTGGGATATATGTGCTATTTTCTGATTGCATATAGACAACGTAGCCGACCTGGTTGAATTACTCCCGTTTTTAGAACTGGGTTAATCAGACAACAGCCGAAGACCACCAAAGCCCCAGTAGTTCTATAAGCCTGCTACGGAGGATACAACTACACAAAGTCTCAAGATTCAATCCTCATGAGCTAAACTCAGCTGGTAATAAACACGTCGTTGCACTGACATTTTCTTCAACTTGGCGGGTTTTCTGTCCATTTTACCAGGGTTTAAAAACGATCTGTAGCTCTTGTTATGGCTACACCACAATTTACAATACATGTAATACATGTATAGTTAGGCATGACTATCCATGCATGAGTCATCTGTCTGGCATGCACAGCAAGCAACCAATAGGCATGCAGCTTTCCTCATTCTTCTTGCTGATTGGCTGTTGGAAATAATTGAGTTAGCTCCATGAACAGCTGCACAACCCATACCATATTGAGAGTAGGTACTGCATTGAAGTGTTTTGGTCTAGGTATGTCAAACTTTCCTGCTCAAGCATTGGAATGCAGTACATAAACGTTTTTTTTATCTTGAAAATCAGTTTAAATTATGCAAATAAAAATCCTAATCAATAATGTAGGGGGATCTAGCTATCCAACTGTTATATTCTTTGTTATTTGTCACTTTATACTATAGTTACATCGATATGTAAAACATTGTTTTCCCTTGTGGTCTCCTTCTTTCCCTGCCATGGCGCAAAATGTGTGGTGTAGCCATCCTAAATCTGCTCCAAAGGAAATGTCCGGGCCTTTCTAGTTTTGTAACGCGATGTCTAAAGTAACAGACAACACCTCATAGATAACAGAAAACGTATTCATACCTTCACAGCAGCACGGCAGACCAGGGTGCAGGTACAGGGTGAATTCTAACTCCCGGTGCACATTGGGTAACTCGGTCAAAGGTCAGAAATCCGCGCAAGCGCAGTAGCCCTAGTTCTAGTCTATATAGAGATCACCAAAAAGCAGTTACTCAAGCAACTGGATATGATTTTGAAAACGTCAGACGTTTCAGCTAGCTAGTATCCACTAGCTTTCGTCAGTGACTGAGAGACCAAATGCGGGTTTATAAGCACAACCTATTGATTGATATGCAAATAAAGTGTAGACAAATTTTTGGAAGTCGAAAATGGAACAAAAGTCAAGACAAGATAATGCAAATTAGTCAGAAAGCTCAGAACAGGAGCTTAAGTGTTGTCTGTCCTCGGGGCTGGGAGTGCCAACTCCCAAGTGCTGGAGAGATCGATCCGTAGGCCCCCCCCCCCCTTCCCTATTGAGGGTTGGGTTGTACATTCTTTCATATATTGCCTCTTTAACACTCCGTTCCCACCAGCGTGTTTCGCGGTCTAAGATATCCGTGGACTCGAGTTTGAAAGAGTGACCCTGGTTGTGTTGTAGGTGGTGGAAAATAGCTGAGGAGTAGCCGTTAGCACTAGGTCTGCAATGTTCCTTGTATCTTACTTTAAGCGGTAGACCTATATAGGGACCTCCGATTGGTCAACATCATCTGGCTATATGATAATATATGATAAACTATACAACATTAAGATTTCAACGTAGCTCACAAGGATACGAAGTTACACAATACGGTTGTTGCCCACTACCCACTACAAACGAACAAAATCAAACAATGCCACATGTAATAATATACCGTTGAAATATCTTTAATCTGTTTCCCAAAATAGTACAATCTGTTTTCATACTCATCGCAGTGGGCTATGAGTCTTCGTACATTCAGTGTTTTAAATCTCGTGGATTGACACCGATACAACGTCTAAAAATACTTCAACATCTATAAGAAAGATGAAAATAGCTTAAATGCCACAATAAATTCTCTAGATAGGAATAATGTTTGATATACCATCCAATCAAACAATTAACTTCCATTGATCATATCATCCGAGTAACATACATGTACCAAAGTAATATTAGATCATCGGAAAATTACTTGGTCATTAAAATATCCTATATCACTCGCTGAGTGACAAAGAAATATTAGACATAGAAATACCGTATTATAGCACAAAAATAGGATACCAACAGCACAAGCGCCAACTACATGTACTAGTTTTGAAGAAAATTTAAACATGAAGACGCCATGAATTAGTTAACATATATAACATTGATATCACAGCACAGCATGTTTTTCATGAATGACGAAACTCTAACAGAAGTAGCTTTTTCTTGTTTACATAAAATATCTGGAAAATTGGCAATGGATATTCCAAAATATCGGCCAAGAACTACAGGATGCCGATCTCAATGAGTCCTTCCGTCAAGTCGATACGACTAATCTCATGATCACTAGTGACGTCATCAACCTCCGTCAGTTCTGGGGTGACAGACGGAGACCTGTTGCCGCGGAAGTAGCGGGACAGGAAGTTTCGGTTACTAGTATTACTTCTCGTGATGAAGCTTGGGCGCGGCACACGGGCCCAGCCGTATGCGCTGCCGCTCACCGTCATCGATGTGGTCGAACCTGGTCGGTCGCCATCTTGATTTTCTTCAACACGCGTGACGTCATCATTACCCAGGGAGCCCTGCGGTATTTCAGCGCGCGTGACGTCATCATTACCCAGGGAGCCCTGCGGTGTTTCCTCAGTCAGAGCCTGCCAGGTCGACTGCTTTTGTTCCCGGGGTCTCTTCATTTCGCTGTAGACGGTGAAGTACTGGCCGGGATCCGTCCAGGCCGTGATGACTCTGCGGGGAAGTAGGATTGTCATCGTCTGGTTCTTGGCGGTCCACTCCCGCCAGACGCCTCCGCAGTGGCAGCAGCAGTAGAGACAGCCGATCACGTACAGGGCGCCGGAGCACAGCGACAGCACCGATATACCTGCAGCAGAACGAGATGTTTCAGACTTCCGGGAAGTGTTTTTGGGTGTTAGTGACCTTGAAGTTCACCCCCAAAACCAGCGGTTCTGACGATTCTGACGTTTTGACATCAGACACCCCCCCCCACACACAAACACAAAAACAGAGCACAGCTGCCACCCAAAACAATACTTCCGACAGAGACATGATGCCTTAAGGTGCTATGATTAGGTGCTATTAGTTAATACTATTAGTTAATACAAACATACTCAGTCATGTCATGTCATCCGAGGGCTTCCCGTCTATTTGAAATGATAATATTTGAGATTGCCAGTTGCAGGTTCCATTTAGAAAAGGGTATTAAAAAACAAAACTCGCGTCTGGTCAAAGGGCAAAACCGTGTAGGCTGTAACGAGGATCTTTGCAGCTGAGTGAATCTTAAATCGCCCGGTGTCACGCGGACAAGCACGAGGAAAACGGGAAATGCTTTGATGTAACTCATGTGTTATTAACAGGCTGCCACTCCGTGCAATTAGAAGTCGTGTTCGGTCTCTCAATTAGCCGGCCTGGCCTTCTAGTATTGTAATTATAGACAGATCAAAGAATGGTCGTGCCATCTGAAGGACACATGATCCAGTAAGATCCATATTTGAAAAGAAAGGCAGTTATTCCACGTCATTACTCCACAAGCCATCAGCCAATTAGTTAACCCTTGACGGATTATAGTAGTGTACAACCATCTGTTTCATCCAATAACTAGAATATCTATTTTAATTGCACATAGGTCTAGAAGCAGGGCTCGAAATACTGGGTGCATGTGCACCTTAATACACCCAAATTTGGAGCTGTGCACCCAATTTTTTTTCTGTGAGTGCACCAGTGCACCCAATTTTTTTTGTAGGTTTACGTATATGTCAAGATGTTAAATTTAGAGTAGTACTAGTATTCAGCATATTCTTAACATCTAAGTGTCAGACAAATAGTAAAATCATTCTTGTAGTACTTTAGAAACAAAACATACTTCGCTCACATTCTAGTTATTTTATCTTATATGGTGCACCCACAGAAAATTTTGTGCACCCAATTTTTTAGGCTGGGTGCACCAGTGCACCTATTCCCAAAAATGAATTTCGAGCCCTGAGAAGGGACGGAGGTGTTAACGGAGTTACAAGCCACTCTCCCCCAGGGACGTTACGTGAGCATTTTCTTTAATCTTAAAGGCTTTGAAATCCAAAATAGAAAAAAAAAAATCCTATGATCATACGTAAGTGTATTCGAAGTCCCAATTGCTTTGAACGTATACATGTTTTGATTTCATTTGTCGTAGCCCTTTACATATTCTAATAAAGGATCTGAAGTAAAATGATATACCCTCACTATGATAAAAAATATCCAAGATCTTAAGACCAAACACCCGATTTGACAACAATGATTCCGTCTTGAATTTATTTTTAGGCTTAAAAATAAAATCTAACAAGCTTTGATTCAGCTTGTTTTTCCTGCTAAACCCCCAGGCACTTCGTTATTCCTTTTTTAACGGTGTCGCTCAAAGCAAAGCCAAATAACCATTTCAAGGCACTGAGCTGGGTGGTACGACAGATGTATGACTCTGCCTATTAAAAGATGGCGGCGGATGTGTTCATTTTAATTTGAAAGCTTGATGATTGTTCTCCCAAACACATGCTTCGAGAGGGAAGCATGTGTTTGGGAGAGAGTTCCATAATTTTGCAGTCCGTTGCCAATCTTCGGATGTGTGAGAAAGAAATTCTCTTATATTTTTTTTCTTATAAGGCCACACCGACTTAATTTTATGGATGAAATCCGTTCGCGCATTGATTTTCGCCTGTTTAAAAAAAAAAAAGATCACGTCCACCGAGGCTCTGTCCTGGCTCTAGGCCTGGGTAGTCCATGGTAGTTAGCAACAATACGGAACCGGGCACCCAGGCTGCAGAAGCTTCACGACTCAAGAACTCGTAATACGTAATACGTACAGTGCCGATTCATAAATTTGCCGCCTTGCATGTCATATACGTCGCTAAGTACTGCCTCAAATTCACAACGTAACACAATCTTTGTATTCATGTGGTTTAGTAGCATTTTCATTTTGGCCGGATTTTTTTATTCAAACAAACAAACAAACAAACAAACAAGCAAACAAACAAACAAACGAAGCTGGTGTGTTACGCCGAAAGGCGGTTATACCGGCTATACAGATACAGATACAGAAACAAACAAACAAAGAAGCAATATCAGGCCTACGTACTCATGACTTTCCATGCCGGCACGTCTTTCTGTTTGATGGTGGGGCCGTGCAGGGTGCCGACGTCCGAGCACAGGTACACGCCGGCCAGCGTGAACAGCAGCAGCAGGACGATGATGACGAGGATGATCTTCAGGTACGTGGAGTTCTCCGGAGACAGGTTGAACAGGACCCACTGAGGGAAGATTGGGGACCGTTCATTCACCACTTTACCTTTTTTTTATGTTTGACCGAAGGAAAACATATTGTTTTTGCTCAGTTTCTTCCTCTTCTTCTTCTTCTCCAAACAGTGACCTATGACCTGACCAATGACATGATTTGTTGACGTTTGCCACCATGGTGACTGGTGTTGGGTTACATAATGTTGCAATTTCATGGTCTGCTCTGCTCCTGTCACCATGTGCTAGTAGTACATGTATGTGAATGTGTTTGAGTAAGAATTAACAGAACAGACCATCTCCGAAGGTAAACATTATGGATTTGCTTTGAAAATGTTACTTCTCTAGTAGACAGCACACTCAAGTTATATCAACTTATTTTATGCCGCCACCAACGCAGAGGACGAATACAGTTTACCGTTAATTACCATGACGCATTGCGCCTGGGGGTAAAAAAATCCCAGGTTGCATAGCGCCTTGTAATCTGAATTATGTGTTTCTGCACAGTGCGGCAAACTGTACTCTCTAGCGGACCAACTCCACTGGCATGTTGTCTCTCCATTTGGCCAGTTTCTACTCTTTCCAGCCACCTCCCGAAGCCTGGTAGAGGCTATTATCTATATCCCAGAGGTGCACAAAGCTATCTTGGTCTGACAATCCCTACATGAATACCAGTGACTTGAACTAATCACAACCCCCCCCCCCATCTCTTCAATTTTGACACTCACCTCCTTGAGTGGCTTCCACCTTCTCTTGGTCTTGAACTTGTACCTGCACAGCTCACACCTGGAGGAGTTGGACTTCAGCAGCCATTCCTTCAGACAAGGCAGGTGAACAAACGCGCTCGTCCCCTTACATCGGCAAGGGCGGGCCAGAAATCCCGCTCGGCGACCTTCGAGACATATTCGGCACATTTCGGAATTTGCCGAAGATGACGTAGATTCCGACGAGTATGGCCGAACGAAGGCGAAGTCCGACTGTAAAATAAATACAGAATATTACAATGTTCTTCTAGATCTGCCTAATTTTGTCTAATATTCTTTCCATTTTACCTTAGATACATATGAAGAATATTTTCAAAGCGAATCTTTCGCACAACTAAAATGATAGATGCTAACTTCAATCCAACTCCTGCCGTTACATGAAATGCATTTTCAAATTTTGGTAGTTTGTCTTACCATAAATATAATGTTATTGATAGGGGCATTGTTGAATTCATATGTGGCAAATAAATCAATCTTACCACGTCTGCCGTTTCCTTGATGCCGTAAAACGCTGACATGCTGCCACGTTTCTGAGAGGCCTGCTGTCCCTCCCCCACCCGCGACTCAGTGGTATCGTCCCTTTCGTACATGACGTCACTTCCGCTTCGGTTCTGTAAGCAGCCAACCCGGTTGCTCCTCCTGAAGGGGACACATATAAATATTCATCACTGTATCGTGCGTCCAGAATTCTGAGATTATTCCTGTATGGTAGAAACTTGTGTATTGATCAACAGAACTTAAAGTAAGGCCACACCAAGTAATTTTTATGAATGACGTTCTCTGGAGACCCTAAATCTAATGCAAGAGCGCGAAAACAAAACAAGAAGGCAGAAAAAATGTTAAAAGACGACAAATGTTAGGACACAAATTGAATGAGAGAACACAGTGTAACAACCAACAAGTCTTTTACTCGTTGTCGTCCTGTCCTGTTTCTTCCCTTTCATCACATCTTCCAATCTTGAGATTTGCAGCACTGTCGTGACTCTTTGATCATAGTTACGGGAAGCGGAATTTCTTGAGTTTTTTTTTTCTGGAATCGGGACAAAATCATTGCGCGCGGACGTCATCCATAGAAATTACATGGCGTGACTTTAAAAAATTGGGGCTTCTGTATTGACTGACTTGTCCTATCTTGACCTTTCCCGCATCATGGAGGTCGAACTGGAGACTCCAATTATTCTACCTCCATGCCCACATGAAGCAAAATATCTCATCGATGTCATTCAACAAGTTAAGAATCCAGAGCTAATAGGATCTGTATAAAAAAAATCCCCTTTGACGTACATTTCACCGATCAAAATTGTATAGACGCCGTATGCCTTTTACTTGTAGCTGGATGTCAAAGACATGGATATTGTTCTTGCTTCCTTGCTTCGCGGAAATACATGTACTTAGATGACTTCACGCTGCCAAATATGGTTATCATACTCGGCATTCAATAATATCCTACCTCCGGGGTGTCTTTCATCTAATTTTCCAATTGTAACAGCAGGATATTCTTATTACATGTAGTTAGTGTGGGCGAAAATATAGCTTCACTAGCAACGCAACAACGTCCGAGATACCAGTCAACACTCACAGTAATACTGTAGACGTGAGAGTAGATGCTAGCTAGATATGTAGTACTGAAGAGTTTGCCATGCACTGTACCCGTTACAATTGTTGTGCAATAAAGATTGACTTGACTTGACTTGACTCTGAAGAATTTCTGAAGCAAACACACGTGTCTCTCAAACTACACTAAAAGCTCTTGAATAGTTTCATCAGGTTGGTAAGTTACTAAGTAAAGAGACTCTTTTTTTTTACGTCGGCTGTAAATAAAACACTTGATTGTGTAAAAAGAGTCTGTCTACTCTGCACTAGAAGCCCCTATCTCTCAGACAAGATAAACCACTTTGATGGTGATCCTCTTTCACAAAACTGTCGTTCTGATCCCATCCGCACTTTAATTGATTTGTAATGGCTTGATTTTTTTACGAAACAATTGGACCACAAGCACTGCTGCTGACGTCTACTGAAATACTAAGTACTGTATAAGCTTCCGAGATACCAGTCAACACTCTGAAGAATGTCTGAAGCAAACACACGTATCTCTAAAACTACACTAGAAGCTCTTGAATAGTTTCATCAGGTTGGTAAGTTACTAAGTAAAGAGACTCTTTGTACGTTGGCTGTAAATAAAACACTTGATTGTGTAAAAAAAGAGTCTGTTTACTCTGCACTAGAAGCCTCTCTAAGACAAGATAAGCCTCTTTGATGGTGATCTTCTTTCACAAAACTGTCGTTCTGATCCCATCCACACTTTAATTGATTTGTAATGGCTTGGTCTTTTACGAAACAATTGGACCACAAGCACTGCTACTGACGTCTACTGAAATACTGTATAAGCTTCCGAGATACCAGTCAACACTCTGAGGACTGTCTGAAGCAAACACACGTGTCTCTAGAACTACACTAGAAGCTCTTGAATAGTTTCATCAGGTTGGTAAGTTACTAAGTAAAGAGACTCTTTTTATTACGTTGGCTGTAGATAAAACACTTGATTGTGTAAAAAGAGTCTGTCTACTCTTCACTAGAAGCCTCTCTCAGACAAGATAAGCCTCTTTCATGGTGATCTTCTTTCACAAAACTGTCGTTCTGATCCCATCCACACTTTAATTGATTTGTAATGGCTTGATTCTTTACGAAACAATTGGACCATAAGCACTGCTGCTGACGTCTCTACTGAAATACTGTATAAGCCCCCAACAGACAGAAGTGCTATGGTATACGTGCGACCTCGCGCTAGAATTCAGAACGTACGTCAGTACACGCATACTCAATCCTTTGAAACTGTTCGTAATAGGATTGATAAAACGCTTCTACTTGCAACTAAAGCATGGGAGGATTTCAAAGAAGGTCCAACAAATGTGATAAAGAACGCATCCGTGAAAGGGAATAGATGAATCGGCTTGTTAGGCGGTATGCCATCCTGACAGGCAAGTCGATTATGTCGCCAAGGCAACTTAGGCCAAAGCAAGTCAATTTTATGGATGACATCCTCCACAGACTCCAAATCTAATGCGAGCGGGCGAAAAAAAAACAAGGCGGGCCGAAAAAAACAAGGTTCCTACATTTTACAATTTGGACTCAATCATTGTACAAATGGTTTTTATTCAGTGGGAACATCACATATACACAGCCAGCATCACATATCAATGCATCAAAGTAAGAAACAAAACATTAAATCAGAGCATTTTCTTGTCTCCTCTCTTTATAGTTATCTGCCATCCACCTTCCGGCATGGCAACAGATATCTTTGCCCATTTTCGGCATGTTGACCACTGTCAGAAGGCAACAAAATTTCTTGTTTATTTTCCAAAATCAGGCGAAAATTAATGCGCGCGCTGATGTCATCCATAAAAATTACTTGCTGTAGCCTTATTAGAAAGATGGCTTGTCTCCAATTTTCCCGCCTTGATCGTATGGTGTCATTGAAGATCTGGCTTGCAGCGCGCTAGCGATGGCCTGTTTTATTCCTTTCATGCCTTCTATATGTACGTGGTTGTCTGCATACGGCCCAATTGACGTCCGCGACACTAAAATGTGCCGGGAGTGCGCGTTGAATAGTAGTTATAACGGGCAAAACATTAACTATGATTGGGCACGTCACATTTAGGCCACAGCAATTTACATGTAGTAAATTTTGTTGATGACATCCTCCGCAGACTCCAAATCTAATGCGATAGGGCAAAAGAAGCAACGCAAAAAAAAAACAAGATTCCATTTTAAAACTTTGACATCATGAACCTTGAATGATATAAGAAGAAATTATACCTATATTGTGCCAAGTTTACTGTCAACTATTACAACGTCCATTTGTCCCTGAAACAATTTTTATAAATAAAAGTTTTCAATCATTGTACAATTGGGCTTGATTCAGACAAAGCAATAAATCAGAGCCTTTTCTTGTCTCCTCTCTTCATATTTCTCTGTCAATTACCTTCCGGCATGGCAACATCTTTGCCCATTTTCGGCAACATGACATCTTTTCCCATTTTCGACATGTTGGCCACCGTCAAATGGCAGCAAAATTTATTGTTTTTTTTTTCCAAAATCGGGCGAAAGATAATGCGTGCGCTGATGTCATCCATAAAAATTACTTGCTGTGGCCTTACGCAGGGCTCGAAATACTGGGTGCATGTGCGCCTTAGTGCACCCAAATTTGGAGCTGTGCACCCAATTTTTTTCTGTGGGTGCACCCAAATATTTTCTTGGGTTTTCATATGTAAAGAATAAAATTTTTTAAATGTATTTTAGTATACAGCGTATTCTTAACATCCAAGTGTAAGAAAAATAATAAAATCATTGCTGCAGTACTTTTCTTTAGAAATAAAACATATTAGTTTGTACTGACATTACACTTATTTCATTTTATATGGTGCACCCAAAATATTTATTTGTGCACCCAATTTTTTTAGGTTGAATGAATTTCGAGCCCTGCCTTACGTAAGACTCTCAATTTCTGTTTCTCGTGCCATCAGAGCATGGCCGAAGGTATCCATTATAGCTTCCACAAGTAATGATTACAGTACACCGCGATTTGGGTCCTGACAATCGTTAGACCTCAAACCACTTCCTCGCTGATTACTCTACTCTTTCCCTCCACGTACGTCATGCCTCAGAAAAGTTATCGCCTATTCTAAAAAGGGTTGACCGATTTTGCCGTAGAAGTTAATCATTCCTTTCGTTATTTGCCTAGTTCGTTAAGGTGATACTGCTGCTACTTGTGCGATAACGTGCTTACTTACTTGCTTAAGGCGGACTTTTGGGTACCGACGACAACATAAAGACGATAACATAAAGACGATAACATAAAGACGATAACATAAAGACGCTACAAAAGACTGACACTAACGGCAGCCTCACTTTGGTGCAAGCTCACGCGCGTTCTCGTCAGAATGAACTCTCGCGTGAGTACATACATACAGCATCTTATATACATTTTTAAAAAAGGAATTTCTGTACTGACACTCTGATAATCAGAAGACATTGTATTATGCTGATGTTTTGTTTAGCCTTTCATCAATTCTTCCAATTTTGCGATTTTGCGGCACTGTCGTGACTCTTTGGTCATAGTTACAGGAAGCGGAGTTTCTTATATAAGGCCACAGCAAGTAAATTTTATGGATGACATTCTCCGCAGACTCCAAACCTAATGCGAGCGGGCGAAAAAAACAAGGTGGGCCGAAAAAATAAGGTTCCTTCATTTTAAAATTTTGACTCAATCATTGTACAAATGGTTTTGATTCAGTGAGAACATCACATATTAACAGGCAGCATCACATATCACTGCATCAAAGTAAGAAACAAAACATTAATTCAGAGCCTTTTCTTGTCTCCTCTCTTCATAGTTATCTGCCATCCACCTTCCACCTTGACAACAGACATATTTGCTCATTTTCGGCATGTTGACCACTGTCAGAAGGCAACAAAATTTCTTTTTTTTTTCTAAAATCAGGCGAAAATTAATGCGCGCGCTGATGTCATCCATGAAAATTACTTGATGTGGCCTAATTGTCTTTTTTTCTGTGAACAGGCAAAAATCAATGCGCGCGCGGAAGTCATCCATAGAAATTACTTGGTGTGGCCTTAACCGG